GGCCAGCTGACGCGGTTCGAGGGATATCAAAATAGCCTGGAGGACGTGCTAGATGTCCTACGCCAAACACCGATATTGGTAGAGTGTAGCCTGTCATGCACAATCAACGACAATTGGGGTGCGCAGATCGAGCCCGTGTGTCTCCCACGCTTGCGATCCTTGACGCTCAGTAGAACCATCATCCCCATCGACCACCTGATCCTACCGGCGTTGGAGACACTCGTGCTGCATATGGACGAGACGGAGGGCGACGGCGAGGGTTTTGATCCCGAAGACGAACTGGAAGGCACGATATACTCTGATGATTTTGTCGGGTTGGTACGACGCTCGGGCTGCACGTTGCAGCGGCTACACTTGCATGTGTCGTTCCTTGCCATATCGACATTCCTAGAATGCCTCCGGGCGACACCGCAGCTGAAAGAGCTGGTTATCGAATATGCACAAGGCGGGACAAGCATGAACGAATACTTTCTGGACAGAATGGTGCACGGCCTGACTCCTCGAACCCAGTCTCCGACGGTAGTCCCAGAGCTTATATATCTAGAAGTCCGCCAGTGCTCTAGCGAATTTAGTATCCATGCGCTAGGGGAAATGTTGTGGCTTCGTTGGGGTGCTGGACAGGGCGAGCGAGGAAGTCTGGAAGTTTTCCGGTTGCAGATATGGATGATAGAAGGATCACAGAGTAAGTGCGAGGATGTACTAAAGGAAGAGAGGATACGTACCGTTATAGATGAAGGGATGCTCGTAGATGTTAATTATGCCTAGTACTTAATCCAAGATAATTACTTATTCATCTGACCAGTTGTGCGCAATACATGCTAATTCAAAAAATGGAAGAGGATTGGATCCAAGATGATTGAACGGCAGATTGGCTTTTTTGCATTTCATAGATCCTAGAATGTTCCCATGTCATTTTTTAGTTGCGGGCCTTGCAGCGAATAGTACAAGGCGTGGTCTGCGTGGAAGCGTGGTCCCTGCCACTGGCCAGAATTGTTCAGAATTGGCTGCCGTGTGAGAATATAGCAATAGAGAGTGTACGGTGGACGCCTATAGAAGATGCAAGCTATTCTGTGGCCAGTTAAACTGAGGAGTGTGGCCGTTGCGTACATTGTTCGCGGCCAGTCTGGTGACACAAGATTGAGATTCTGATCGTATTTGGCTGAGCTTGTATCGGTGATATCAATCGCGCGGCTGTGACTCTTCAGAAGCTTTCCCCATTGTTTCCTAGTTCCTTCGACAGCTTCACAGCCAAGCGCCCACGATATCTATAAAATATGAGTGGGCGCCAGATAGCACTCTTGAACTACCAGCAAAAACCCCTACAGACAGACCATCATGCCTCACCTATTTCGACCGCCCGGACAGATGCCAATTTTCCCAAACGAACTGCTCTACACAGTGATTCTCCGTGTCATCGGGAACGGTATTCATGCCATATGTCTTTCCCCCGACAATGTTGACTGGGAGATAAATATGCTACGCACTCTCTGCAGCGTGTCATACAACTTCAGGGCAGTGACTATGAGATTGACTAGAAAGGCGTTCAATGTTGAACAGGGGGATGATATTTCCAGGTGCATTCACGCGCTCATTGGTGTAAAATTCATTTCACTGACCTCTGCAGGATATTTCTACCTATCGAGAACCAACTGCGACGCCTGCATGGGCTCAATCACTACTCTCCCACAAGGTCTTCACTTTTCAGACCTCTGCCAAAGGATGATGCACTTCTCACATTCGGATACTCCTTCTACCTCTCTGCCATAAATGTCCTGAAACATCCCAAGCACTCCATCTTAACCTTCTATCCCAGCCACGAGCTCGCCATCCACTTCCTCTCGATGTCGCTTAACATCTGTGCCAAGGTCGAGCCTTGCGGAATCGCGGACTTGCTCGCTGAGGCTATGGCTAAAGCATTGGTTTTTTTGGGAACTGGTATGTGATAAATTCATATTCGGAATTCCCGTTAATCTGTTCACGTAGGCCTCGACATCGTTCGCGCGTCTGAGCGATTAGATTGCCTTCTGTCTCTCCGAGAGAACCTCGAAACTTCTGATGAAATAAATGACCCTCAAGCTCGTCATGTGCGAAATATTTATTGTCTTTTTGGCCCTGTAGACTAATCCTATTTCGTGATAGGAAAATGAGACACAAATACGAAAAGAAATATCAAAGATCGAATGTGCAAATGCGCTCTACTTCGAGACGGCAGCATCTGACGCGGTCTACCGACCTTCCCAGGTACGTTCATCTATATGTTGAACCTAATCGCTGCTGACCCCTCTCCAGCTCCCCGGACTTCTTCCCGTGCTCGAGAAGTTGCGAGGCGTGGATTTCTTGGTTGCAGAGGTTCCTATGAAGGTGAAACTAGGTGAACTAGTCAAGAGGTGGTCTGCAGTTGTATGACAGTCGCGGTTACTTGTATGATCATATTAATATAAGCCACACCCACTAATTAACTATAAGAAAGCCTGCAAAATAACGCGAGGACTGGTTTGAATAAAATGAAGAGCGAAATCGGATCCACATATACCTGGGGTCGTGCGCCTAGTAACTCCGCGATAAGCAACCTCCGTGATAAGGTGTTCATTCCCAATGTTCAATTTTCCACTAGAAAAGCCAAACGGTACACGTTTTTATCCAGTATAGTGACGTACTTCCACTGAGGTACGTCCAATATCGTACATAGCACGAATCGACGATACGTCCAATTTCAAACGTTCAAGAAGTTCAAAACCGGCCCGACCCCTCATGAGAATTCCAGCAAAGTTGACACTCCGCGAACTGCCGCTTCATGACAGTGAGTCTGACACTTTCCCTCACCCTGCTCTCCACGCTTTCCCGCGACCTGAACGATAAACAAAAATACATGGATTCCCACCGGACTTCCCTTGCTCAAACTAGCAAAACGTAGGGCGGATCCACACTAGTTCGGTCCCCACGCGCTCGGCTACGCGCGGGTTTAGTGAAGTCGCCAAGGGGACTTCTTAACAGTTTCCCCCTCGTATAACTTGTGAAGTGATATACCCATCTTGCCGAGCTCTCTGACTATCTGCGGCGCTATTGCTTTCCTACTCTTCTGCCAGTGCACTCTATTTCTATCCGGTAATGTCGACAGCGAGGCAATCGGGCGCCACGTCGAGCAACCGTGACTCTGAAGCAATTCGTGCATCCGTCCTTGATGTCTGTCTGCAGCTGGGCGCTCTCGACGATAACAGTCAGGTCAGGGAATGGATGCTGAACGATCCATCCACCGACGGGGAGCGCCAGTCCAGAAGACGTTCCGTCAGGCCAACTACGCGATTCCAGGATGTGATTTCAGGGGACTGGGAGCTCGCAGTTGAGGATGCTGGTCAGGCTGAGCGATACCGCCGTAATTTTCTGCCCTTCTCAATCAAAGCCCCATTTGTTGCCCGACTTCGTTCCCGGTCTCGCCACAGGGGCGGCGACCGCAAACCCCTCGACAGTGTCCCGGAGAACGTTCCCCCGCATGAAGTTGGACCGGAGCGTGTATCCCTCAGCCCGCGTTCGTTTTTTAAGCGCAGTATCCATAAGCCTCCGGCACCCCCAACGTCTGATCCACCGTCACCGACCCGACCAAGTTATAAAGATGGCCGTGTCTCCATCAGCCCCAAAACCTTCTTCAAACGTAAACCCCCTATTGGCTATGAAAAAGAGCTCCAACCGACAACACGCATGATCCATCCTGGACACTCATATACCAGTTCTTCCGGCTCTGAACCTACAACGCCACATCACACCTCGTCCGATCTCCCCGAAGAACGCGCCAGTGAAGAATGGGAAGAGGTCGAAGCGAAGCCTCACAGTCCGATGTTCCCACTGCGCAACAAAGGTGTCAACCCGCCTGCGTTCTTTCTTCTCGACGAGCCACGGTACTCTGCTACTGGGACCACCGACAGCACTACCACCACTACCACTGAATCGGATATCTCGGAGATCGACATCCAGGATGCAACGCACCACAATCTCACATTCGCATTCCCGCGCCTCACGTTCCGTCGCCCCACCACCCCGAAGACGCCCCGCAAGACTCCAGGGAATTCTCCTCTCAATTCGAGTCTTGCTTCCTCGCCCTCAGCCTCTGCACGATCCACACCCACACCGTCCCCCCGCAAGCAGCTTCACATCCTCACGGTCGGGAGGAAGCAGCAGCACGCGCACCACCAAAGCTTATCTAGCTCACTCCCTGTGACCCCCTTCGTCCTCCTTACGTCAGACAGCAACTCTAGCATGCCCCAGCCCACATCGCGCATTGTCTTTCCGGATGTAGAGGACGATCCTGTGGCGCGCCCTACAGCGCTGTCGTTCTCCGAGGCGCATAGCGGGAGTATGGGGTACCATAATCAATTCTTTGTTGATGCGGCCAGGGAGAGGAACGAGAGCGTCGCGCGAGCAGAGACGATGGCGGATGACGAGGTTGGGCGGAAGCTGAAGAAGACCGGTAGCAAGAGGTTGAAGACGCGCTCGGTACCACCACCTCCGCCTCTTCAGAAAGTTGCTACGGCTAGGCTGGTGAGAAAGCAGCCGATAGCTTTCCCTATCTTGAAGGTACGCATGCTAATCGTTTGATACAATTGCGAGATCTTCATAATTTGTTTTTCAGAGTGATTGAAATGCCTACAAGCTGCCCTCCTCCTAGATTCACGATCACATTCGCATATACTGTATATCTATCTCTATTCAGGTCCACTCACCTATCCATCCTACGTTGAATTCATGCTTATGTCCACCACGCCCTCCTTTGTAATATATTCTCTCTGACCCCATTCCAAGAAGTTTGCTCATTAGATATGTGACTTCTTCAACCAATAACGCCACAGAAATTATCTCTACCCTTTCCTGACGCCTCCTGTAATGTACTTCCACCAAATACTTGCTCAATCGCTTTGCAGTAGTTTTTTTGACCCACGTTCTAAATTGAAGTAATAGATTCAATGTGGACGATAATAAAGGAGCGAAACAAAACGATAAAATTAAAGTTCGGGTACGGGGAATCGAACCCCGAGCTGCCGCGATTTCAGTGTGTGAGAGGCGGCAATGTTAGCCGTTACACCATACCCGATAATGTTTTCGTGTGCTATTTTGACATATGTTTGGCAGTCCGCGATTATGCGTGTGATCCAAAGTGTATAATCCTTGCATCGAGACACGATCTAGTTTTGGAGACATGTGTGAGATCAACATCCTAGTGTCGTTAAGTAAAGGGGGGAATACGTTACGTTTTTCTCGGCGGCTCACAAGGAGATCCTACAGCGGTGCTCGGGCTAGTACTAGTACTAGTACTGCCCCTTTATGAGAGCGTTCACTGATTAATGAAAACGATCCCCAGATCGCCTCACAAGTTTGGCGTCCTTGATACGAGGATCAACTGCTACGAGTCAGACCTAAGCGGAGCATCCTTCGGGCAGTACTTACGATCCATAAGTCTGACCGTCGATCGCGATCATGTCGATTGCTGAAGTACAACTATGAACCCTGGTTATGGCGCCAGGTCCTACCTTTGACCGGTGACCTAGGGCTAGCGAGCGATTCGGGCATAACTCGATGAACCAATTCAGTCGTTTGGGCACGCTCTACATCCGCTCATAACTGAGAGATATGACGAGGTAGCCGTAAGGCCGCGATGAATCTGTCTTGGATTTTGATACAGTGTTCTTCGGCCCAACATCTAGCCAGCAGGAAGTTTGAATATACGCCATGCGGCTGTGGCGGCTCGGGTAGGAGGGCCGCATTCCGTCACTGAAAGGTAGGGCGTTGAACGTGCCAAGAAGTTATTAAGATGGTACACATAGAATTGAATGGACGCCCAGACTTATAATATGGTCGTGTGAGTACCTCTAGATCGCGTTGGACGTGTCAGGAAGTTGCTAAGATGGTGCACATATAATTGACAGAACGTTGTGGAAGAGACGCCCAGACCTATAATATGGTCGTGTGAGTACTTGGAAGCACAGTAATTGGTTGATTGGATTGCACAGCCATGGTAGAACTTCGGAGCCCTGGACAATCTAGGCTATAGACGATGTCGACATATCGGGAGTGTCATGGGGTGGCTTCGATGCATGATGATTGGGCCTACTTACACAGCTATGTCGGCATAGGCTCTGGCCCATAGCGCCGCCGCGTGACTTCGAAACGAACTAGGAGAATGACAGTCGGGGCGATGCCGATGCCACTGACATCTACTGACAGCTCGGTTACATGGCCTATGTAGAGAACAACACTTACTCGATGTAGCAAGACATTCAGTCGGTGTTGTGGCGTCCATTCGGTCAGAGTACTCTCGATCAACGGATCATTGTAGGCCTAGACTGAGATCGACGCGCTTGGGACCGGAGGATCAGCAGATCATTGTAAGTATCTACTGCTAGCACCATATATTCAATCTTTGAGAATATCAGATCGCGGTCGTACCAAGCTGGAGCGTTTAACGGCATAACTGGCCTAGGCGTTCAAAAAGGTTGCAGACTCCGCCCCAATCGGTTTTGTGCCCATTGATGAGTATATTATTGACAGGAAATAGTAAAACTCGCTAGAAAATTGTGCGCATGGAATTAGAGTCAGAGGGGAAATTTTGGCAGCTTAGATGAGATGGACAGTCAAGCTGCACCAGTTAGAGTTCAGCTACCTATGTGCACGGCTCTGAAACCTGAAGGGCATGATGAAAAAAAAACGACTACCCAAACAGCGGATATCGCGGAGTACTTGATTGGAGAGCCCTCAGTCTACATTGGGCTACTGAGACGCTGCGCGATGTTCCGTGGAGCGAATATAACCATTTCTAGAACAAGGCGGCGGATGGTTCCGCTGTCATCGCAGTATCGAGGCAGCTATTCACATATATGTAAAGCTCAAGTGCTAAATACTGGTGGCTGGAGGCCAGTGGGCACAAATGACGCACCCTCTAATTAAGCGCTTTCACATGCGCTTAGATATATTCTTCATCACATCTACCTGGCTCGCTCACCCAGACTAAAAGCGCTCATGGTTCCTGGGCGCTTGAGCAATACATGATGGTCAGATCCTAGAGTTCCCACGTGAGTCGAGAGTCCTCAACTTCAAGGAGGACAGAAAGCACATGCCCGACTGGGCCGAGGACAGCAAGCTTGGGGGGATGGAAGAAAGGTAGTCCGGGCGCAATAGTTTACATGGAGACCCCACAGACGCAGTGGTTGAGGCTTGAGCTTGAGAAGTTATTAGTTGTCAGTCGCATATTTATGGTTGTATGAGCAGTATATGAGCAGAAGTTGATTGAGGAGCCTAGGCAACATGGACCATTTGCAAATTCCTTCTCGTACCATTGCGCTGGGCTTGGGCACTCTGATATCTCCAAGAGACGTGTGCGTGAAGGATCCAAGAATTGGAAATTTACCTGGACGTTGGCTTGAGTTGAATGAAGCCAAACGCGCTGGTGTGCCGAGCCGGAGCAAGTTGTTGACAATGTCAGAAAAGTACGCGGGGGAGATGCATATGACGAATTTCCTTTGCACCTGCTTGGCATCAGCTCCCGCCCCGCGTGCGCACTGCACAGTGAGTCAGCTGGCTTGGCTCGAGCTGACTTGGGCCGGGGAAAGTAAACCAGGCCCAGGCCCCAAACTCATGTCCGGGATTGTCCGAAAAGACCGGCAATGCGTACCGAGCTGACCGAGCAGCACTTGGTGGCGCCAGTGGCGCCGCGCACACTTGGTTGCAGGGTGCGTATGCGTCAGATCCATCTACGTAATATATCCGTATCTTTGCTTCCATCATACATGGAGAGAACGCTTGTACACAAGAAATACTCGCTTGTATTTTCTAGTCTAGTACATCCAGGAAACCCCACAGCGACAACGTACATGTGTAAGTGCGTAATGAGCGGGAGTAATGTACTGGTGCGGCAGTAAATAGCCGATAAGTAAGGGTGGTAGTGTAGTTTTTATGGTTAGTCAAGGAGATACAGTGATTTTGTATTAGTGGGTTTGGGATTTGGGCAAGAACTGAACGAGCAGGCTGGAAGCGAGAGGTAGACGCACAAGGAATGGTGAGAGGGACGGAGGGCGGAGCATGGTAATCTAGCAAAGGAAGAAATGAATCAAGAAAATTCAAGCAGCGCAGCGACAACGAGTCAAATTCAAGAAAAGTGGTAAGTATTACAGTAGCAGGGGATGGAGGATTGAGTGTACAGTACGCAACGGAAAACGAAAGGAAGAAAGAGAGAAGCAAAGAACAGCCAATAAGCCACATACACGTAATATAACATACTTTTTATGTACTGTCAGGCCATCCTAGGCCTGGCGCAGTCTTCGAGGTGAAGTGGAATTCACCATTGGTTCAGGACAGAGTTGGGACGGGCCGCAGCTCACGCCATCGCTACATCACCGCCCCTCTGGGCGTGCATCTGCTGATGCTGCTGCAACTCAAACTCCCGCCGCTGCGCTTCGACAAACTCATGCTGGGCCTGTGCGTCGGCTGGCGCCAGTTGCGGCTGTGGATGGGCCTGTTGCTGCTGTGCAGAGTGCGCGAGGAACTGCTGCTGCTGGGCGAGGAACTGTTGCCGGTACTGGGCCTGAGCCTGTTGTTGCTGCTGCGCCTGGCCTTGAGCCTGTGCTTGAGCCTGAGCTTGCTGATGCATCTGTGCTTGCATATACTGCCTCCTCTGCAACTCCGCAAATTGTGCCTGATACACTAGCTGCTGAGCCTGCGCCTGCGCAGCTTGAAGGTGCGGCGAGCTCGATTGACTCTGACTCTGCTGCTGTTGGGCCTGGAAAGTTGCCTGACCATGGTGGGTAGGCGAATGCGGTGTCGACCGAACCCCGTTGCCCAGCGCAAGACCCTGCACAGCGGCCGTCAGAGGCGTCATCGGTGGGGTCACCGCCTCGCTCGTAGCCACAGAAGACACGCCCACGGCAGCTGCCATAGCGTTCGCAGCCGCAGGGTTCGTATACCCTGGCGTAAAGGGCGTCGTCGCACCGCTCGCGTAGCCTCCCTTGCTTATCAGAGCATGGGACGGTGCGGGTAGAGGTGGCACCGGGGTCCCCACGCGGGAGACGCTGCCCGCACGGCTAACGGGGACGCTCGCGCTCCCACCGCGCACGACGCCGTTTCTCTGCACACCGCTGGTCGGCGCACCCACCCGCTTCCTCCCCTCTCTGTCATCCATCCCACCGCCCCCACCCGCCGCAGCCTGGAACACCTGTGTCTGTGTCTGAGCCCCTCCCTTTCCCTTGCCTTTTCCCTCGCCACTAGCACCTCCATTACCCAAACACTCATGCAGCCCACCGGCAAGCAGTGCCAGCCCTACCGCTCCATGGTCACCCGAGTGCTGATAATGATACCTGAGGCCATTCATGTTCTTGTATCGGCGCTGACAATCGCCCACTCCACACGCAAACGGCCGTACTCGCTTCTCGGCCTCGCGTTCCACCTCGCGCAGCTCCGTCTCGGTAATCGACCCCAGGTCGCCGTACGCAGGGTGTGCGAGATGCTGCAGGAACGGCTCGCCGCCCTGTGAGTGGGTCGCAGGGGTGGGTGTGCCGCCTGGGGAGCGAGATAGCGCACCGAGTGACGCAGATCGGGAGAGCCCCGCGGCCGAAGCGTTCGCTTCACGCTCGCGGCGCTTGCGCTCGAGAAGGTCCTTGACGTGCTCGAGATCCTTCGGCGGTGCAAAGTTGCAGGATCCGTGTGTCATGTGATATTTGAGTCCGTTCGCTTGTTTGTAAGACTTGTTGCAGTTGGGCTTGGGGCATCGGAAGGGCTTGGAGAGAAGGAGAGAGGTAGGGGCTGGGAGTGGGGTAGCCGAAGGGGTAGGCAGGGGCGTAGCCGCAGGCGTGGAGACCGCGGTTGGAATCGCGGAGGCGAGCGAACTAGAGCTAGGGTTGGTAAAAGGGGCTGAGTGGGCAGATGAAGAGGGGGTGTTGGGCATGGATGCCGAGTTAGGCACCTGACCGCCGCGGACCTTTAGTTTGATCTTGCTGTTGGTAGGTGCGGCGGCTGCAGGCACAGGGCTGCCCACTTGAGACCCAGAATCTCCATTTGCGGTAGGCGACGAGGACGAGGACGCAAACAGCAGGGCAGGGGGTATGC